GACAACCCCCAAGAAAAAAACAAACCAGGTTATATGTGGACAACCAACCGCCTATCAATCGACCCTTAGATCCGGTCCCACATCCACTTACAAAAAAAAAACAAAAAAACAAACAAGCCTAAAAGCGTTTTTACTACTCCTCACAATCATACCCACTTGATATCAAACAATAGGCCAGCGACTCCCCCAAAGCAAAGCAATACCGTAGTGTAGCATCCCACCCAGATCTCACTCTATCATACGACTATGTCGAATTCCCTTCTCCCGTACTTGCTACTGACGTTGGTTAGTTGCTACGCCTAGGAGGACCTCCCCCCATCGGAAAGGAAAGGCCCGGCCCTGATATCATCAGGATCTGCCCGGCGCGGGATCTGTACACTGCATCGGCCTGCCAGCAACCAACCCATCGGTTGTTTTGCTACATGGATTCTGCCATAGGGATACATCCAGCACAAGAGTAGATTCCTGAGAACAGAAAGGTAGGGAAGGTACCAACCGCTACGATACGCTAATCACGGAAAGAGAATCTCAAGGAGTGATCATACATGGCATTGGTCCGCCCACTCCTTCCTGAAAGAGAGGGAACCGCATAAAAGGAAGTAACAAGGGATTAAGTCACTGCATGGGTGGATGATAGGGTTTCGAAAAGAAAAGAAATGACAATTTATGATAAGAACACATATACTTCGCGCATACACACTCACACACACGCATTTCGACAATCAGAGCTAACAAAGAACCACTTCGCCCGCAAAAAGAGGAAAAGGTCAACAGACACACAGAGAAGAGAGAAAGAAGAAAGCACCAGAAACACCGCCACTTCCCAGCAGTCGTCTAGGAAAGACATTAGTAGAATGAATGGGAAAACAGGAAAGAAAATTCAATTTATTGCCTGGGAGCCTTTTCCCAGAGTTCGGAATGCATCCTTCATGATTCAATCATCCATTCTGGCCTTTGGATTTTTTTTTTGTGTTTTTCGGTTTCTCAATTGAGCTTTTTTCTGTTTAATAGGCTGTTTGGCATTTATGTTGGAAACGGGGGAAGGCGAATATAGCAGACGCGAGCTTGCCAAATGCTGAGATCAGCGCGACTCGGATTGTATGCAGCACCAACAGTTCGACGATATACAGAGTATGGAAAAAGACATTGGAATCATCCCTCCTCTTGTTATTCTGGACTGCTTTCTGGCATACAGCGTAGACCGGATTTTTCACATTTTTTTTTAATCTGGTTTTGGTTTCGGAAGTGTGCCAAATAGGTGGGGGAACGAATCGTCTGGGTATCAAAGAAAGGCCGTGGAGGAGCAAGCGTTGTGCGGGCTGATGTTTGACAAGGATGCGAACAACTTGCCTAGGCTCCTCAGGTTCCTTAGAGCGCGCGGCGGGAAGGATTCGAAGACACACAGCTTATGCGGTAGGCTGGTGCTGAGGGGGCATTCGGTTGCCTACAGGCATACCGGGATATTGTTGACCTGCTTGCTGCTGCTGCTGCTGGAGGTTCTGATAATAGGCCATCTGCTGCTGCTGCTCGTTCGTCATGTAGCCGGGGTGCATGCCCGCAGGGCGGGGCATGTTTTGCTGCTGAGGGTTGACATTGGCGTGGCTAACATCTTCGGGGGTCTCAGCAGGCACCTCCGAGGCGTCGACGCCGTTCTCATTGGCGGTCGGATCGGGAGCGTTGAGACAGGCCTGCAATGGAGAAGTGTGAGTCAATCGGACTCAATTGACCGAGACATTAGCGGACGCCACTCACCTGAATCAGATTCTTGCCCTCCGGCTTGGTCACCAATGGTTGAAGCTTGGGGGTGGTGAAAGTATACACGAGACCGGTCTCAGACACGACCAAAAGCAGTACTTGAGTACCAGTGAGGACGGAGAGTTCATATGCCTGTTTTGCGACCGCGACGATGCGTCAGTACTGATCAAGCGAATGGGGGCAATGACTTCATGCAAGCGTCAAGCATTGATGTAGAAGACCTTAAGCCAATGTAGCGATAAAGAACAACGAGTCGCGAATCGACTGGAATAACAAACGACCAAGGGAAAAAAAGAGGTTGATGGGGGCTGAGACGCGCAAGCACGTACCTTCTTCATGATACCCGCCTTCCGCTTGGAGAAGGTGATGTGGCGACGCGACTTATCCTGAATGAACTTGATTTCAATCTTTCTGCGCTCGCGACCCGGCTTGTCATCATCGTCGTCGTCGTCGTCGGCAGCGCTCATGCGAGAGCGTTTGGTGCCGCGGTTGTCAGCGGCGCCGTTACCGGCGGCCTGCTGCAGGTCGTCCTGAGTGGGAGAAGGGTTCTCTTCACCGACGGCGGTGATGTCGGCCATGGTGGAATGAGGTGGTTAATCGGGGGGAAGGGGGGTGGGAACTTGAACGAAAAAGAATTCCTTTGAGAGAGTAAAGTGAGGAAGGAAGATACTGGGGGACGTGAAGACAAATGCCCAAAGAGGAATGATGCTTTTGAGGGGGAGGGAGAATGACCAAATCGAGTAACGCGTTTGCTTCGCAGGGTTTGGGTTCAGGACGAGAAGGAAAGAGAAACGGGGGGGGAGCGACTGAGTGAGGAGAAGGTCGAAGAAGGCAAAGTGCCGGTTGGGACAGGCAGGCGGTCAGTCACGTGGATCTGGCTGTGGTATCGTAATCCCCGGGAACCGGTTTCGTACCGCTGGCTGATGCTGGTTGATGGATGGATGCATTCTTCCCTTCCATCATGGGGAAAGCTTCCATCCCTTTTTGTAGAACTGGTACTTCGGGTTACTCAGGACTACACTACTTGCCCACTGATCTTCACTGTACCTCCAAGTCATCTCTACTCCTCTCCCTCACCCTCTACCTCATCTTGCAGAGTCGCTCTCCCGCAACGCATCGGTACTCATCCACCACCACCACCACCACTACACACCCCAAACTTGGCTCCAATCTTTCGGTCACAATACGGGCGGTGTCCAGACCCGACGGTGGGGAAGCCTGGCTCTTGGCCCGAGTGTCTATTGGCGCAGCCGCAGTAAGGCATTGGGGGACTCGATTGTAGAGGCCAACTCACATTCCCCACCCGAGGTTTTATTACCGTATCCGTTTTGTCTGCTGGTTTCCTTCCTCCCATCCAGAAAGGAAATCTAGTGTGCAGACCGTGGACCGTGGACACTGTCGTGTGTAGTCGAAAACTACACTCGCAATTCCAGTAGAACTCAAGGGCTCTGAGTTGTCAAGCTTCAAGCTCATCACTCACATTAATCAACAACTTAGTTACCTTAGTCCTTGAGATATGGTCATGTGCCCTCCTTCAGAATCGCATTCCACCCGGCCAGGTCCAATGGTGCTTTCCTCCCGTGTACGGTAAACCCCAGTACGCACCTAGTACGGGGAACGGCGCGCGGGCAGTTCGCCCCCAAAACCAAAACATTACCACTTCCAGTACTAAACTACAGACCTGGCAATTGTGCTACCGAGACGCAGAGAGACCAGCCAGTGACCTGCAGACGCCTTGTTCTGACTGCGTAGCACCGTCGTACCTGCTAGGTACTCTCTCGCTCTCAGTCCAAAATCCACCAGCGAGCCAACCAGCTCGCCAGCTCGGTAGAAACTTCTTCAGTTTGAGGGAGGGAAAGTGCATACACCGTACACCAACTAACTTACATCCTACACTAACTTGACTGTCACTACTGAACTGCCGCCTGTCCCCCGGGTTGTGCTCTCGCATGCATGCAACCCTATAAACTCAAGTCAGCCACGACTTACTTACTGTAACTACCTACCATGCCAGCCGTCTCCCTCATCAACACTCATTGACACATTTCAACAATATTCTATCGATGATAGTCTATACATCATGGACCATACCTGTTACCTAACGCCCCAACTACAGCGGTATACCTCGGACACCAGCATTGGAAATGCAGGGATCCAAGAATAGCCACCGACAGCAGAAGATGCACAGGGGCACGCACGCAGCCTGAGGCCCTACTATCAGCAATAATTGCCCCAATTATTCCCACCCAGCACCAATAATATATCTTGCCCGTCCTCGAATAGCTTGTCCAGTCGGAGACCACACACGTCCTCCTCCGCAGGTAAACACCCATTCATCCCTTGAAACCGAAACCAGCCCATACATTCCAGAGGCTTGAGGAGGGAGATACTGGAACAAGCCTCCGTACGGAGCCTGTGCTCAGCCCTCCGTAGGAGACCCCAGGAAACCAGCGCGGACAACCAGACTAACAACTTCAACAACACTGCCTGACAAACACGAAATCTGGATCATCTTTTCCCAGCTCGTGCAAGATCCACCGCCAACGACAAAAGGTCCCCTTCCTTGTAGGGCTGGGCCTGATCCCGTACCTTAAGTCACAAGTCCTGGGATAGAACTAAACCTGTTCTGTACGAGATACCCAGGATCCATTTCCCCGCGGAAATCCAACCCGGGATGACGGTGACAGTCCGGAATCATGATTGATGCCCGCAATGTTTTGATGAAACGACACAATCTACAACCACACCAACTCTCTCTCTCACGGCGCAAGAAAAAACTCCCGCTGCTCAGACTCTGTACACTTAGAAGCACATAAAAAGATAGACACCAGCAAAATGCAACAGTAAAGCAAGCAAGCTAGCAAGCATCAAACTCCCCTCTACTACACCTTTTTCCACACTATATGTAGGTAATGTATATATCCTCCCTCCCATCCAATCCCAACCTTCTAGTAACAACATCGATCTCTAAAGCCAAAAGAAACCGAAGCCTCAGCTGCAGGGTTACATTTCCCAATTCCCCACCAAACTTACTTCCAACCCCTCATCCCACCTCCTACCTCACTCGCCCTTAGCATCCAGAAGCATAAGCATAAGCATATGATAGGATCCAAGGTCAAGCTTTTAGGCGTTCCGAGCTTACAATTGGACCCATCATCCACGGCATGGCGTTTTGAGTGGTTGACTAAAGCGTATAAATCCCCCCCCCCAAAAAAAAGAAAAGAAAAGAAAAGAGAACAACAAGCCGCTGGTCCAAATTGACCTCTTGATCACCTGCATAGCACATAGCCATCACCAGGTTATCATATACTGTAAAACAAAGATGATAAGCGAGTAGATGGAAAGTAGTATTGACTATCGCCCCAAGCCCCTCCTAACAAGCTCCAAGCACCCCCAAACCTCCTCAATATCAATAACTCATCCGAGCATACCGCAAATCCACAGGAGTAAGAGAGCCTGGGAATCGACTCACCCCACAACAACCACGAGAGAAGCGTATCTCCACCCTCCAGGCTGCATCCCACCCCATCCATCTCATACTCTCCTACACCCCACAATCCCCCCCCGAGGAGCTCTATATACACATCCCAGTACACACCTCACCTCATCAAGCCCACAAACCAAACCCCGGAACCATACCCCCACCCCTCACATTGTCCTTGTCCTACCTGCCCCCCAAAAAATGATAGGCTCCAGTCCCACCGGCTTCAGATCGCCCGCCTGCCTGTCCCAGACCAATCACACACACAAAAAAAAGTGGCTGTGCGGTCGATGTTCGCGGAAATGTGCTGGGTAAAGTTCAAGGGAAACTGGAAGTCAAAGCACACACACACACACACACATGTGAGGTCATATCATCTTGTTGGAGAGAGATGATATACACTTGGTGGTGGGTTGTAGATATATTTGAGGCAGTATTTATGTTCTTTGGAATCTGCTTAAGGACCTATTAGGCGATGAAGGGAAAGGGAGGGGGGGAGGGGGTTCTGGTGTGGTGCTAGCCTTCTATGACAATTAACTACTTCTGGGCAGTGCTGAAGAGGACCTAGAACTAACAGGCTGCCGAGGTATAGACAGAGAGTTCAGTCTAGAACCTGCGACACACACCAACAGCTGCTATACATTGTCTAGCCGACAAACACAATACCAAGATTATTCGACGACTCTATAATTCTATATACCAGGGAGCCTAATAAGACAGATCTAAAACTTGATTCGTGATATGCGGCTAGGACAACACCCACCACAAGACATGCGCTAATCTCCAGGACAAAAGCAAAAGACGAACCAGCGTTAACCGCGACTCTGTGGTGAAGGAGACGTGAGGAGATCGAAAAAGGTTCTATTTCTACAAGTGGTATGCTTCAAGAAGGATGAAGCCTCGAACATCACGATGAGATAGACAAGGAAAAACAAGGAGAGTGTAGTAGTGTCCGGGTTGATACCTCGATCAAGCCACCGAGTTGAGGCGAGACCGCGATCGAGCTATAGTCCCCGAGTTTCTCTTCCGCTGGAAACCACCAGTTCCCAGTCCTTTGATTGACCGCGCTCATTCCTTGACTCCGCCGATGACAACGCCGAGTATGAAACAAATGATCAATCGAAAGAGAATAGAAATGCCGAAGGAAGTCAGGGTTCCGGGAAAAGAGTCGATACACCCAATCAGATCCATTATACGTCCGTCCTTGTTTTCAGCTATGTCGTCGTCGGTATTCGAAGTAATGTAGCAGAGGTGTTGATGGAAGAGTGACAGAGATATAGGAAAAGCAACAGCAAAATAATAAATAAAGAGAATGAAAAATGTGCAAGAAGAGAAGCTATGCAGATTCCAAGGACCAGCCTTAGTTTCATTCATATGATTTTTGATTGTCTGATCTCAAGGCTCAGTGTTGTCTGCGAACAGCAAAGTCCTTGATGCCTGCACCGCCACCGCCCTTGGGACCGAGCCAGACAATCTCGATCACGCTGTGGCCTTCATCTTCCTCACGCACATACCACTGGTGAACATTGTCACCCACGACATAGGCTTCACGCAACAACCAACGATCCTTCGTGACACCATCCTGATCCCTCCAGCGGAGAGGACCAAGGCGGGCCTCATATCCGCGGGGGTCTTCTTCCCAGGTCTTCTCGGCATGGTCGAAGTTAATGGCATCATCGGGGGTGTTCTCATCGTAAGTGTACTTGACAAGCGAGTATCCGTTGGTGAAGACCCAGAAGGTGCGGGTCGACCGTCCAGTAGCATTGTTGACGATCTCCTCCTGATCGAAGACCCAACGGCGAAGAACCGAGCGGCGACCTGCAGCTGCAGCCACAGTGGTCATCTTGACCACGTCCTTGGTGTACCAACTGTTCCAATGGTGAAGAGACTCGATCTTGCGACCAGACTCGTACACACCGTCGACTTCACCTTTCATATCCATCTGGTAGAGAGAGGGCCAGAGAGTAAGGGGGGTGTCTCCGTAGCGCTGAATGCACTGGCCAAGCTTCTGATCACCCGGTTGCTCACCCCAAGACTGGCACTCATCGTATTTGTCCACCAAAACATCGAGCAGCGGCTTGGAAACGAAAACACCAGCACCACCGAAAGCAATGTGACCGAAAGTGTCCACCTGCCAGCTAGCCTCGGACAGAGCACCGATGTAGTGCTTCTTGCTCGCATCAAAGAGCTTCAATTCCTCGGCAACCGTGGGGAGAGACAGGAAGAAGGTATCGTCATCGATGAAGCTGACCCACTGGGTTTGAGGGCGCTTAGTCTTGATGTGCTCCGCAAACGCCTGCACAAGACCAAAGTAACGAGCGGTGAAATCGAGAGGGGATTGGATGAGAGTCAAATCCAGACCGCGGTTACGGAAGTAAGTTTCCTGCTTGGGAATGTCGTCGTCAGAATCGGGAACAAGCACGATCAATCCGACCTTGGTGTTGCCGTAGGAGTAGAGGAGGGATGGCAGCAGGCGATCTAGACGGTCGGCAGTGGTGGCGAGACCGAAAAGAAGCTTGTCAGTCTCGTCCACCTCGTGATCAGCGGCGACATTAACATCGATGATGGGCGGGCACGGCAGGGACGATTCCTTGTTGTCGGGCGAGACGATCATGCCGCGCTCCATAATGGTCATAGGAGGAAGAACGGGAACCTCGATGCTCTCCAATGAGCTGAACTCGGCCTTGGGGCTGACATGGTGAGGACGGAAATAGGCACGAGTGTAGTTCTTGCGTGGGAGCCATTCGGCCATAGGCAGAGGAGGCTGGATATTGGGGTCGACGTCGCACGACTTCGTCGAAGGCGAGGTAGGCTGTAGCTGAATTTGAGGCGAGGTCGTTCCAGCGACGTGATCGGCCGGCTGCTTGAAACGCAAGAAAGCCGCCCGATCGAAGCGCTCAACGCACCAGAAGAAAAAGGCGATTGAGAAAAGGGCAATCAGCGGAACCGCTGTTTTCATGCGAAACACCGGCATTTTCGGGGTCTTTGTTCCGTAGTCTTTGAACATGAAACAGATGCCACAGAATTTGATTATTAGACTTTATTTCGTGATATTAAGACGGCCCGTGAAGAGAGCGTCGTCGTCGTCGTCGTCACCGAATTCGACTCTCGTCAACAATCGTTGGGAGAAGCGAAGGTCGGGCAATAAGTTGCTGCAACGAGGGGAATTGGCGAATAGATGAGCAAAGTATGCTCTACTGCCGGAGAGACTGTCAACGAAAGGCTGGAAGCGTCGGAACCTGCGACACAGTCACAGAGATGGCGATTTGAGCCAGAATAGAAGGTACTGTGTGTAGGAAAAGTCGCAGGGACAGCGAAGTTGTTGAGGCGAGAAGGAAAAGTGGCCAAAAGGGTAAATCGGGCCGACGGGAAAACGAGTCCACCAACACAACTGGACAAACGCGCTCACCAAAAGGGAGAGGATGAGAGGATGAGAGGAAGAAGGAGGAGGAGGAGAGGGGAGGGGATTGTGATTGTCGAGTGTTGCGGAACGGAGGAGGGAAAAGGAGAAGAGGGAGGAAGAAGAGGAGGAGGGGCGCTTGGAAGTGAATAATAAGAGCGAGACTTTGAAGGAAGACAGGAGAGCGAATGTCGGACCGTCTGAAGAGTTGAGGAGAGCGAACGACAGGCAACTTTCAGATTAGTTTAGTTAGGTTAGTTAATTCTAGCTGGGTCCCAAGTGGGAATGCCGAAGATTGGAACTGGACCACGGGCTGGGTTTGGATGGGGCCAAAGCTTTTCCACTCTCTCTGCACTTTTGTTTCTTTTTCTTTTTTCTTTTTTTTTTTTTTTTTTCTCCCCCTACTGAGTTAAATTAACGCGCAATCAATAAGCTTGCTCGCCCGTCGCTGGAAATTACCCTTTACCCAATTTTTGATATTCTGTACCAATCAATGCGGTTTTGAGGGTCTCAGTTTCGTCGGGATTCTCTCCCCAACTATCGTATTGTTCTTGGTTGCACTGCAGGGTCAAGTGGAAGAAAAGCGAGAGTGTGATGTGCTTGTGTGAGAAGGAGGAATGAAGACAGCCAAACAGTCAGTCAGCCAGACCAGATAAGAAAGAACTGTGAGGGGCAGATTGAGACAATAGTGAAGTGGTTCCTATCCTCTTCCTCTCTGGCACCTTCCCGCAATGGTGTAATCTACATCCGTTTCTACGAGTACTGTACATAGCATCAATGCTCCGCCCGTATAAACTTCCACGGTCTTCTCTTCTCGCTTCTTTCTACTGAGCTCCCTTCTGTATAGGTTTAAAGCCTCCTTTCTTCCTGCTCCTGGTGCAGATCCTGACTCAAGAATAGAGGCAAAATTGGCGATGGCGGATGGATCCCTCTTGCTGCTCCCCCCACTCTTCGTCCGGTGCCTGGCCGTATTTTTCAATTCCAATTACCATTGTAGGACCCTGGCCATTCATTCTACAGTCCTCGAGACGCGTTGATGCCCACGATTTTGTAGGCTGATACATCCATGGTCATGTCTATCGCTGTTGGAGAGATTGGCATTGACAGGACGCAAGTGATAGATAAAGTATTCCATGGATGGCATGTTTCCAACAACCGTCAATGCACTTGACTTCCCCAGGTCCTCGTCTTCCCGTTCTCGCAATCCTTCCGAGACCCTCAATGCACCTTTTTTACATACATGCATACAGATACCGATTAGAAAATGCTCGCCCATCAGCAGAATCAACCGGTCAACCACCGGAGAGAGCCGACAAGCCGGATCGAATAAAGACCACCTGTTCTTTTTTAAACTCCTCGTGTTTCTCGGGTATTCTCTACAGATGTCGTGATGTGGCCCACTATGGCACGAGAGGACGATTATGTTCGCAACATAGTACATGTGCACCATGTATGAGTACTGGTACAGAGTATGTGCGTACGCTGCTTAGTGCAATTGCCCTCGACACTCGAGATCCCTGATCGATTGCGTAGTCGTCAACGTGCACGCCGAGAAATCTCAGACAGTTGATCGCCCGCTGCTGCCTTGGTCTATCTATCCCAAACCCGGGCTCTCCCGTGTTACAGAACAACGGTAAGAAACTTAAGTATCAGATGATGGGGGGTGACAGCTTGTCTTTTTTTGGGGCATGGAAAGAAGGGGGAGAGGGGATCGTGGGTGGCGGACAATAAAAATGGGCTTTTCTATTGTTGCTCGCTCCATCCCGGAAGGGTTAAGTTGCGATGGCTTCTCGGAATGTTCCAGTGGTGAGTTCATGAAAAGCGCAGCCACTGCCGTTCTGTGAAAATGTACTGATTTCTATTCTTATCGTTATCGTATTTCGCCTTGCTTGACTTTTTTTCAAGGTTTCTAACAATGCATCAATGAGTCGGTGGCTGCAGGCTCAAGATTTACTTCTCTTTTGCTTCTTCTACCCAGGGTGTTTCAACACCCCCACGGGTTATGGTCAAAAGTTGCAAAACAAATACCAGTGAGTGTCAGAATGCGCGACAGACAGACAGACAGACAGACCGAGCATGTTGGAAGCCAACTTCAGTGGTCAAGACTGGGATGAGCGTGTTTGGTGCAACGCCCTTTTGGATCTGCGTGCAGTTTCCCGCCGGGCCAGCCACTCAGGGGCGACTTGTTAGGGGGATGGTCCAGTAGCCCCACGGGCCGCGTGTCCCATCAGGTTGATCATCTTGCCCTGTTGATGTGGAATTACAGAGTACTGAGTAGCAATGTGAAAAGGTGCAAAGGTGCAAAAGGTGAAACTAGGCTCATTGCCCGTCAGCAACATTTCATCTATTCTATCTATTCCCGACTGTCGATAGGCCAGTCAGATTACACTCAGCACTAATCACCACCACCACCACCACTACCATTCCATGGTGCCCGTTATTGCGTAGGGACTGGAGGATCATTTCAATATTGCCCTCTTCAATCTGCTACCGCTCGGTCTTCCGTCACATACACGCCCGCTCCGAATGCGATTTACTCAGTAGAATCGTACTCGAGTACACCGTACCTGGAATGACCACATCCAAGGGACAAGAAAAGTGGACTGACTACCTTGTTCCCTCTTCAATGTGAACATTCTATCTATAGCAGGTTAACCATGGATACTTCTCCGGCCACATATTGAGCGCCTTACAAGTTACAACAATGGCCACTCCCCGCCCGGCCGTGTCGCCGCCGGACTGCGGCGCAGTGGCAAACCAGACGACACCCAGCCTTGAGCCTCACAGAGGTGGAGGAAAGAGTATGGGTAGTCTAATAGCATGGGCTGACAGGGCCAGAGGATTCGCCTCCGGGAATCCTAGCCATGGTCTCCGTACCTGGTGGCAGTTATGGTACTCGTACTCTGGCCATAGTGGATCGCGATCAACAAGTCGAAACCATGAAACCTGAAGATTCAGAGTCCAATGATATACAGCAGACTTTCGGAGTTTGTTGTCTGGACGCGTGTACGCCCGCGACCTGCCACTGACTACGTACTGTTGCGCCTACGAACTGATTCTTCATTGATGGAACTTTTCTTGTTGTGCATCCGATGGGGGGGTTCTTAGTCACCTGGGCGCATAGCCGGCTGGTTAAGTCTGGGGGGAAAAGGGCACGCTTGTTCGGCTCAACTTTGCAGACCAAACTTAACCATCTTGACTCGCGGTGAACTGAGTAAAAAAAAAGATCTACAAGGTCATTCCCTCTTTTGCAGTGCCCTTGGGCGGGTGGCTATTGTCGACTCGCCAAAACCCAATGCCGGGTAATTAAGCTTGAACGCCAGCCTTGGCAGCTGTCAGGGACCCTGGAAAATTTGACGATTCGTACAGACATCATCTATCTTGCTGGCCCTCGATTGATGTACTGTCCTGAGCAGGTCTGGCCGAGTTTCTGACATGTCAGACCACATGCAGACAACAGCTCTGTCATTTGTCTTCCGCAGTATGTACATACATGAAATCTCCCAAAATCGTACAGGTTACGCAAAGTTCAACTTCACTCCAATCGTGGCCGTTCGGTTCCCAGCTGTCTGTCTATCAATCCTGAACAAAGACAAGCGCCCCCCACTGACAGTCAAGAACCCCATCGCTAAATCAGGAAGGATGGGCGGCTGCTCAATTGTCAACAAACGCGCTCTTTCCACAACCGGACAGAAAAAGAAATCGGAACCCGGGATAGAAAAGCAGATGCATCCCGTGTACGATGACATCAAGGGCAGTTGGCAATCGATCCACAGCTTTCTCAATCTTCCATCTCCGCTCCGTACTAGTCTAGTGTTCGCCGGTTCTCCCATTCAGGGTCCAAAACGGCTCAGGCTGTCCTTCTTCCCAAGGGTCCGGGTTCCCGCGCCAATTGCCATCGAAGAGGGATCGGAAACCGGGATCTTTCCAACTGGTAGAGCTGGACGATGTTCTTTTACTATTCTTGCACTTCTTGGTGGTTCGTCAAGAGTAATTGTAGAGTGCGTTGCTTGTCGCATAGCGCCCCTTTACAAGGATGATCGGTGCACTCATTGACTTGCTCATAGTCATCAACTGTTGAGCATGTCGATAGAGTGTCGTCAGTTTAGCAGGACGTAGCCGATCCGCAGGGCCATTTCACCTCCCTCCCTCCCATCCTGCCAGCAATGACCAAACCTGGTGGGTGTCATGCATAAACGCATCCTCTCGCGAGAAAGAGTCTCAGTATCACCCTTGACACCACAGAGTCTGTTCCGCCCACGACGTAATGCATGCAGCTTCCCGGCAGTACTCACCACCTTAATGGATCCTTAACTTTATACGGAGTATTCCGTAGAGACGACATATGAGTATGTGTAGAACCTACCCCACCCGTCCACCACGAACAACAACAAGTATATGACCTCTATTCCAAACGCCCACGTACTCAACCTCTCAACCACCCCGCTACCAAATCAATTATAACCATGATACCATATCCCGCCACGATCGAGTCAAATGAGGGCATTCCCAACCGCCCGTCCTTCCTCCAACCTCCTCTGTCCCCAGGCAGGTAGAACTAATCTACGTCCATATCAGTATCACCCCGTCTGAACCATACACCAGCAGAGCCAGCAAACCGGTGAACATGCAAAAATGACTACTTCTTCCTCCCAGCACCCCCCCCCCCCCCCCCCCCCCTTCTCCAGTAACGGACTGGGCAAGGAACTCCCAGCTCATACTCAGCAAATTTTACTCAGGAAGTGAGTACGTACGGTAATCCGCCCCCTTGGGCCGCCGGGCGAGCCGACTATTGAAAGACAGCGTGTTTCAGATATGATCGAACGTGGGGGCGCGGGAGGGTGCGCGGCCCACACGTTCTCCCCTTTGGGAAGTCGTTTATTCTACACTACCTACTGCCGGTCTCTGCTTTCCGGCATGCTACCATGGCCCAGTTGATTTGGAGGGTGCGGGAAAGAAAGAAGATGTGATTGAGGTAAATAGTTTGAGCTTTTGTAAGTTCGGTTTCGTGGGATGTGGTGTTCTGATTTCGTGGGTTTGGGTTGGGTGTGGTGCCGGCAGTGGTGGATGTGGACACCTTTGTTATCCTTCCTGGAAAGGAGAAAAGGTCAGACACGTAGCGGAGGAGACGAGGGGTGCTTCAGTGGGGTGTGGCTTGCTGGCTTGAATTTGGCGTTGTTGATAAGCATTAAGCAGGTACATGTACATGTACAGCACATCTTCAGGTACATTCAGGTACAACAGGTACAGTGCAGCAAGTGCTACGGCCACGAGTGTGCCACGGAGTTTGCTTCCATCTCACAAGCTTTCACTAGCTGAGCTCGTCGCTTTGTCAGGCTGCATCTGACATCTGCGAGATAGGGGGTACAAGGTATTCCAAGGGTCGTACATCGGCTACAGAAGAGTGGGAAGACAGCTCATGTGTCACCAACCGATCAACATTCAAAGTCAATTTGTGGATTATCAGGTCTATCGACAAAAGCTCTATGATCATTAAGTGTATTCGTCAGATCGTCACTGTAGTAATACAGAGAGCATTTACAGCTACATCATTCCTCATAAGCACCCTCACGATCCTCGAACGTCATAAATTCGTGGTCGGTGGCCTCATCTCCCATGATAGCCTGCCAGGCATCCTTGACCGTGTCAATCAAAGCATCATCGAAAGCCAGGTCAAGGCTTGGGGGTGGAAGGCGGATTACACACTCAGCTGAGATGGCAGGCTGAGCGGAGCGAGTCTCGCCTCGTCCCCACTGAGTATAACGGAGCGACCAAAGAACTTTCGCATTGGGACCGCCGGCCGATTCAAGAAGCTGCTGTACAGCACTATTGATTAAGGCCTGTCCATCGGACCCGGGCATGTTGATGCTACCATATAGAACACCTGAAAAACATATTAGCAAGATGTTGTTAACAATCATGCAGCGGAAATAACAAAATGTAGGGTGCTCTTTATCAGTCTTCGTGAAGTTTACATCAACAGTGATCAGGCAATGTAGATAAGTTTTGAAGATAAGTCATCATAAGAGCAGAGAGGTATGAAAGGCAAGAGTGAATAAAGAATTGGCAACTTACATTGTCCTGTTGGGCACTCGCCCGTCTCGCTAGAGTGAACCAGAATGTAGACCGGAGGCGAATCATCAGCCCGCCCAAGAGAAGCACCAGGGAAAGCGACAACCGCCCCAACAGGGACAGGTCCGCCCTCCGCCGTGGCCGGGAAGAGGCTCTCGAGGGAAGACGAAACAACCGAGATGGACCGGGCTACTCTGTCACAATCACAAGACAGGCGAGCTGCTTTAGGGAAATCCCAATTGGAGCCAACAACAAACTTAGTCTTGATGACCTCGTCGTTGGATAGCAGCAGTTGAATGCGAGAATCTTCATTTGTGGTATCTTCCGCAGGGAGATCCAACGAATTGATGCCAGTGTTCAAAACATAAACACCGCCACCCACGGCAAGGGCGCGGCATCCGACCTGAGAGATCTCGGAGCCACCACCCCACTTGACCGCGAGGCTTCCGAAGCCAGGGCCATAGACACCCAGCGAGGCCAAATGCCTCTTGATGCGAGTCACAGCAAACTGAGCCGAGGTCTGCTGTGGAGAGACTTGCGATAGACAGAGGGAAAGCAACGGTGCATGCAGCTCGTCCGGCACCTTGAATTTGGACGTCAAGTACTCCGTCAAGGATGCATCACCAACGTCCTCTTGCAGCGACGAGCCTTCGCCCTCAGCTTCATCAGCGCCCAGTTGAGACGGCCCGATATGACGAATGAACCTCATCAGAGTTCGTTTCGACTTCACGCTGATCATGTCATCCGCAAAAATGTCCTCGCGACTGCCAGGGACGCGATACAATCGCTTGTCACCGCTATCCCCAGGTCTGTGGATCCACCAGCTGCCGACGGCCTGAAACTCAAGCTGTCGGTGGACCTTGGATGAGACCAAGGTGGGTAGCAACTGGGAGCGGGCATAGATAAGCTGCGGAGACAGCGAGAGAGTGTATGCTCGAGAAGCGGACAATTGTGTACCGACCTCAGGAGATCCGTCTCCTAGGCGTACGCTAGCATCTTCGAAAGGGTGGTCGCCAGTCTCTTCACTTATCCATACCCGTCAGACAGTGCGCAGATTGTAGCTCGAGAACGATGGACATACCATTGTTGACTCTGTTGGCCCACTCCTCGGCTTCTTGAAGGCTGAAGGCAGCTTCGGCGCCCCCGTAGAAGGGATTCCTGTCAACGTGCAGGACGTTCTTACCCGACCGAGACAGGGCCCTGTCAAGCACCCAGCAGTCAGCGATGCAGTTGACGAGCACCTTCATTGAATAGAACTCACAGTGCTAGGAGAGACTGGGCCAGCCCAGTGCCAGAGATTGTTACATCCCACGGCGTATCCGCTAGTGACTCCATTGCGATGATGACTTGGCAACATACAAAGCTAGAATGAGGGGCTTAGTGCTGTAGTGTTGTATTGAGAGCAAAACCAGCTGCCGTCACGTTGGATGACAAGCTGTTGAACACCTTCGTAGCAGGAATATCCAGCCCATGGGTGGTGCAACCCAAACCATTCGTCTCGAGAACGAGAAGGTTTTTTTAGGGAGAAAAAGAAATCGAAGGACGCGCGAAGAAATACATGACCCGCCGTGGTGGATCACGTGAGGCACATCACCGGACCCGCTCTAGGTGTCCACCGTGACATTTGCAACAAATCCAAGTGCATCGAGTACCTAGGTGATCTTTATCTGTCCGTCGGAAGTAACTTATTGAGTGCTTATCCTTCACCAGCTAACCTGGTGAGCACATGGCAAAGACAAGGAGCCAGGATGACTGGATAGGTAGTGCTGGTGCTATAATTTGCATGCAAAAGAAGTCATAGCGCTATAGATCAACCTATGTACTCCTCGAGATCAAGCTAAGCTCTTTGCTAACTCCCATAGAGCTCCTTCATCTCTACCTAGAAGTCCCTTTCTACTATATAGTACTTTTTACAGTAGAGGAGGAGCTATGCATTGTTGCATCATACATGGAGAAATATGCCTAAGGCCGCGAGATACAGCACTACTCCTGATGCGGTTAGGCGGAATCTGGGAGAACCGCTTAAGGAGCAAATCTCCCACAATGTCAGGTTTCTTTCTTCTTCACACCACTCCTAGTGCTCTGCACCGGCTTACTGCTGTCTCAATCGTAGCAGTATGTCGTCTACGGACAAGCCTTCACTGGTCCTTGTCTTATTAGGGGTGGTAGAAAAATCTTCACTCTGTATCTGCTGCTCTGGATGGTAACATCTGATGGAAGCGGTTCGTTTTGTAGTGATACATTCCACTCATCTAATTTCATCTGTTTGTCTGCGAACTACACGAGTGTACCTCTCCTTCGCAAATAGTAAGCTGTAGCTTCTGTAACACAACAATTGAGCCATGTATCGCCGTGATGGCACAGAAGTATGGCCGTCAGTGCTGTGTGTGACGCCGCCAATAGCGTGGTTACCGGCGTCAGGATGCTTCTCAAGCTCTGGTCATCCTGACCTCCATATGGCCCGAAGGCTGTCCTTCGTTCCACTGGCAGGAAGTAGACATCGATGGGATGTGTCGACGGAGCTCTCTGATCCAATCTGCCTCGCAGTATTCGATGTTCCCCCGCAACGATCTCACTCGTCCGTGCCTTCTTCCACGACCCTGGCGCGGATGATCTTGACCTCGTCCATCGGTCTATCCTCGCCATTCGTCTTCACGAGACCCATGCGCTGGATCACCCTCATGCCGCTCTTGACGCGGCCGAAGATAGTGTGCTTTCCATCCAGCCACGGCGTCGGTGCCAGCGTGACGAAGAACTGACTGCCATTGGTGTTGGGACCGCTGTTCGCCATGCTCAGGATGCCAGCTCCGGTATGCTTCAGGTTGGGGTTGATCTCGTCCTCAAACTTCTCGCCGTAGATGGAGCTTCCTCCTCTGCCGGTGCCGGTAGGGTCGCCAGTCTGAACCATGAAGTTGGGGATAATGCGGTGGAAAATGACGTCGTTGTAGTATCCTCGTTGCGCAAGGGTTGCGAAGTTCTTACACGTCTAGATGGCATGGCATGAGTCAGCTCAGGAGAACCTTGATGTGCGTAGTGAGCTTAGTCTTTCTGTGTCTGACCTTGGGCGCATGCGCATTGTAGAGCTCGACAGTGAACGAGCCCTGGGACCTGTTAGCAGCTTGAACTCTCTGGAAATGGTTCCCGATAGCCATACCATGCTCGTGTCGAATGCTACATCAGTGGCCATTCTGAGAGATAAGCTAGTACTCTAGTACTGATATGCGAATTTTTGGAGGGGAAGGATGGGACATGCAAAGGTGGAGGTGCGGCGGGAAAGTGAAGATTCGGCCTTGGCATTGCATATTCACGCGGAACAATGACCGCATCCCAAGATCCTGGTAAACACACTGCTTCAAACAGCTATGGCTTGAGCACTTTCTGCCCCAAATCTCAGAACAACCATTTCACCCCCCCACATAGGCAGCATATCTCATAGTTCAGCCAACTGACGCCTGCTCCAGGCCTCCGCAGCCACCATGGACGACATCAGCCCTTTCGCGGAGATCCTGGGCCAGGTCATCTATCAGTTTACCCTCATCAAGCCTCTTCTCCCCACCTACGGCCACCTCCTCCTCTCCGCGATCTTTCCTATCTATATTGGCGCGCATGCATCCTTAGCGAAACCGCCATCGGCCACGAAACCCCCCAAGAAAACACAAGACTCCGGTTACGAATCGGATGACGATGAGTCGGAGGAGGAAAACAAAGGCAACGGCCACAAGATGGAGGGTCTTGCACCAAGCGACGCCTTGATGTTCCCTCTCACAGCCGGGCTCACACTTGGAGGACTGTATTTGTTCATCAAGTACAAGGGAGCTGAGACGCTGAACAAGATCCTTGGTTACTACTTCTCGCAGATGGGGCTCTTCTTCGCTGTAGCGTTCTTGAAAGACTTTCTCTCTGTCGTCAGATCCTTCGTCTTCCCAAAGAGATACAGCTCCGCTGGCCGAACCTGGAAACAGAAACCCTCCGAGCAGGCTTTCATCGCCGCCAAAGACGACCCAAACAGCCCTCAATCGGCAGACAGTCGGCGTTCTCCCCTCCCCGGCGTCTTCAGTCGAATCCCACTTCCCGGTGCTGTTCGTACTGCGATCTGGAAACTTCGCAGCACGCTATACTGGCGAGCCAAGCTTCGCGTTCATGTGCACCGACTCGTGCGTGGCGAAGTCTGGCTGGACATGCTGGATCTCCTCAGTACCCTCCTGGCGTTGCCCGCGATCGGCTACTTCACATTCGTCACCAAGCCATGGTGGCTGACCAACTTCTTGGGCTTCAGCTTTTGCTACGGGACCTTGCAGTTCATGTCTCCCTCGACCTTCGTGACCGGATCGCTCATCCTGGGATCCCTGTTCTTCTACGACATCTACTTCGTCTACTTCACCCCGCTGATGGTGACCGTCGCCAAGAAACTCGACGTTCCCATCAAGCTTCTTTTCCCACGGCCTCCGGTCTCTGGCGAAGCCCCCGACACCGTTTCGCTGGCTATGTTGGGCTTGGGCGACATTATCATCCCGGGTATGATGGTGGGGCTGGCCCTGCGCTTTGACCTCTACCTCTACTACAAGCGGAAGGGCCTACAGAAGGCTCGGGCGGAGGGCAATGGAGTGGAATTCATCAAGCCTACATATCAGTCCGCCACTGGAGGCTGGGGAGAGCGCTTCTGGACGCGATCTGTGGCACCAAAGGAGCCTGAATTGCAGCCCCCATACCACGATGCTCGCTCTTTCCCCAAGACGTACTTCAAGGCCAGTGTTGTGGGATACTTGCTGGGGATGATTGCGACGCTGGTGGTGATGCAGATCTTCGATCACCCTCAGCCCGCGCTCTTGTACCTTGTCCCCGGGGTCCTAATCTCTTTGTGGGGTACTGCTTTGGTTAGAAACGAGATTGGTGAGATGTGGGAGTTCAGTGAGGAGGACGAGGATGATGAGGAGAATGACGAGAATCCACAGGACAGGAAGGAACATTCCGAACACCAAGAGAATCTGGGCTTCTTCTCTCGCATTCTCTCCTATTGCAAGAACCCCGACAGCAGCCGTGGTGAAACATCCGGAGAAAAGGACCAGAAGGCGGAAGGCGATGATGCTGATGCTGACGACGACGATAAAGATTCCAACACGTCCAGTGACAAAGAAGAGGAAGCTAAAGACTTAGAGTTGTTCACAGTATCCCTCTTCTATCCTAACAAGGCGAAGAAAGCCGTCAAACCAAAGAGTCCCACGCTCAGCAGTAAGTCGAGTGCGGCGGACGAAGAGAACTGGTCGGTTGTGGGCGCAGAGGGTGACAGTGAGCCTCCGACCAAGCGTCGTCGGCGAAGTCCTCGACATGCAGGCGCAACCAGTCCTTGAAAGCATTGTTGAATAAGATGCATTGGTGGAGTTGCGGACTCGTTGCTTTTTAGGTTGCTGGTGCTTGTTGACTTACCCTACAATATCACATCACTGACCACGAGGGAATAAGAAAGCAATAGAAAAGGAGATGACAACGAATTTGGTATCATTTACTGTAACACTAGCTATTTTCATGCATGTTAAGAAGAATAAGAAGAACAAGAGGAAGAAGAGAATCTCAACACTGCTCCAAGATCTGCTTCACACTCTCCCATCTCTCCGCCGCAATATCCACCAACTGCTTCAACTCCCTCCCATCCACCGCCCACCCACCATTCTTCTCCATCTTCACGATGACCGTCTTCCCCATCTCCTTATCCACCACCAAGCAAATCCGCTCCTGACTCAACCCCTCCTCATACCCATCAGGATCCGCCAAGACCCACCGCCGCTGCATGCCCCTGCGCTGATCCTCCTCAATCATCTTCTCCTCCTCAGCATCCGGCACAATGACCGCCCGCCACCCGGCGGCCGCATCCGCCTCGAACACACAGAACGAGCTCGCGACGGGCAACCCGCGCAGCGACAGCCTCGTCGCCTCCGCCACCGCCTCCGAGCACACGACCATCTCATTATCAGCGTCCCACCACGCGCGCGGCAGCCGGGTATCGCGCAACGCTGCCAGCACCGCCGCCCACGCCGCGTCAAACGCATTGCCCGCCAGCGAGACGATCATGACATCGATATACAGCACCCAAAACGCCTTGATCTCTTTCCCATCGTTCTGCCCCTTCTGTCCCTCCTCCTCCTCCTCCGCATCCGCATCAACCTCCATCTCCTCATCCCCCCCAAACGTCGGCACCTGATACCAGACCCGCAGATCCTCCGCCCGGACCAAGCGGGTGCTGTGCAGCAACCCCAGAATCTGATGCGACAGGGACTGCGCGAGCGCCGAGGGCGGCGCGCCCGGCACGAACCCCGGCGCGCAGCCGGTGCTCAGCGAGAGGTTCGGCACGAGGAGGTGGAGGTCTTGGATCTGGGATTCTTCGGCGTCGGCGTCGGTGTCATCATTCTTGGTCGTCGTCGTGGTGTTCTGCTGGCGTTTGCGCGCATCGGACGAAGCGTGCGACACGCTCCACGAGGCGATGTCGCTCGTCGGGAGGAGTTCGGCGCGCACGCCGCACACGGCGGTGGTGTCGCCCACGCGGACCACGGCGCTGCCGTTCGTGTGGGTGAGCGAGCCCGTGTTGGCCGAGGTGGGGCGGAACTGCGCGGGCTGGCGGCCGTTGGCGCGCAGGGAGGGTTGGTTGCTCGACGCTGGCGGCGAGAGGTGCGCGAGGAGGTAGGCGTGAGGTTGGAGGCGGGCGAATTGCGAGGGGGGGAGGGTCAGGGCTGGGGGCGGCGCTGAGGAGGCCATTGTTCCGTTCACAAATGGTAGAGAGGCTCGTGTCGTTATTGATCTTGATGCTTCGGCGTTGTGTTGATAGTTTGTCAAGATTGGATAGGGGAATTGGAGAGAGATGATGCGCTTGGTTTGAAACAACTCTGTTGCTGTGTGAGTGAAAGTTCGTAAGTTCGTCGGTGGATTCAAATGGCGTTGCATTTTTCGGCGGCAGAATTGTGGGGATACCCTCCAGGCGGTGAAGGGGGGAGCTCCAGCTGCTTAAGCCTTGATAGCGGCACTAGTTTGTACGCTATGCTCATAGTAGATCGACATCTTGACTGCTGCTATCAGTCATTCTAGTAGATTCAGGCGTTTGTTTGCTACATCTAAGCTAGAAGATCCTGTTCTTGTGGATTTGAGCTGTTGAGGCATATGTAGTTTTGTCATTGTCATTAAATAGCTTGAGTGGATCCTATGAATTTACCAGAATACAATAGTGCTAAAAACCACACCTACTCTTGATCTCTCTATCCTATGCTTTTTTGCAGCATGAAAGGACGTCCTGCTGGACAGCGAGGGCAGGGAAAAAAAGAGAAACCGAAAAAGAAACTACCCGGGGCTGGGATTCGAACCCAGGCCTGTAATGGTGCGGATGGGTTTACCCCGAACGCGACTGCCGTGCTTTCCGCTACACCACCCCGGGTCTCGTTGACAGTACACGGCCAGTTCTTCATGACCTGCCTCAAAGGTATGAGTCAAATGCCACCAAAGCGTGCGCAGCAGGCCATGGCAAAGACATAATGTGATGACATGGTGTCGATTGCGAAAGACCTTTCACCGAGCAAGATACCGAGTAAATCGGACCCTGATTGTGCCTTCTGTAGAACCCAACGAGTTACCACGCGAACTCCTCCTTCCTCCTCAGAAACCCACGTTGCAACTATCGTAATCGTAATCTCAAGGGAGGAGCGTGGAAGCAAGCGCAAGGAAATGAATAGGTGTCTTCGGATTTCAATGTTGATTCTTGACCTTCGAGGGCTTCGCGGGCGTAGTGAAGGAGAAGAGAAAGCTGAAAAGAGGCCAAAAGAGAAGGTTGCCGAGGCTGGGATTCGAACCCAGAGCTCCTCTCATGACGAGAGGCGTGTTACCAGTTACACCACCCCAGCGATTGTGAGCCGGCTGCCGATGCTGGTAGCGTAAGTCGGGCCCCCGCCTAGACGGCCCTTGCTCTCGAGCGCGGACTCGTTGCAGGTGCGAGCTGCAGAGAAGGCACGATGCTCGCCCTCCTGCGTGGTTACTGGTTTAGTGAGGGGGCGGGCAATAAGCGACACTGACCTGGCTATATTTTGCGCTATTTCCTGTAATTCAGAATCAGGTGGTTGCTTGACAAGATACCGCTGCTTTGGGAAGCTGCGAAGGACAAAGAAAAAGAACAAGGCCGCCGCCGCTGGAACTCGAACCCAGGCAGACTGTTGGGGAGGGCGTGCTGCCAACCCGCTGCACCATACGGGCGACCGAAGGCGACGCGCTCGAACCTGAGACCTATACCGATCGTAGGTATACAATTTGGCAGGGCGATAAAAAGAAAGTGCCAGTGCTGGGGCTCGAACCCAGATCTCCTCAGGACGTGCGGGATGTTCTCCACTTACACCACACCGGCGATTGTTGGTATAGTGCTATCCTTTCTAGTTTATATCGTGGCAGGCGTACGATTTCTAGGCCCCAAGAAGGAAAAGAAAGGCTGCGAGGTACTGGAAAATGATCCAGGTGGTTCTCCAACAAAAACCCCTGGGTTTAAACATGTTTTCCAATTACCCATACCAGCGAGATGTTGCTCAAGTGATGATCCCAGTAGTAGGCGTGCTGGCAAACGCGGCGGCGGAAGTAGAAGAAGGTAGGAAAGAATTGGCCGACGTCATGGCCCGAGGTGTATTCACCCATTACACCACACCGGCTGGTTGTTATTTGTCTGCTGCCCAGGGGTAGCAGTGGATGCACTGTGAAGAGAAGTCAATTTCAAAATGAGTGTTAGTGTTCATGATACAAGACTAAGGCGCATATAAAGCGCTCTTGAGGCAATGTCGTAATTTTCATCATAAGAGATCGTTGTGGGAAGAATCGAGTTGCAGGGAGAGATGAAAGAGCGATGAAACATTTTGAACAAGGCGTGAATTTCGTGGGCGGGGTGGGGGGCGGGACGCAATGCTCCTTTATATAGGCGATGGTGGGTCTGGACCGTGCGGTCCACCGTAGAAAAATAATAGGCTGTGAGTTGTTGTGGGTTGTGGGCTGTGGAACACCAAACTAAACAGATTAGTACATGTAGTAGACAAACTGCCTGCCACAGCCGAGGATCACATTCACCATGTTTATCACCCATCCATGATGGGTATGTGTAGCTACTTAAGGGTGCCTTACAAGAAACGTGAGTATGTTTCCTATGACTCACAGCTATCAGGGATACCATCTTCTCGGCGCACTCAGTGGCTCAGGGTCCAAAGGCACTTTTATCTCCATCATTAATGTCTTCTGGATAACGATTGTGATATTGGGAGGCCTAACATGGCTCTGGTATTAATTCAGCCTTGATCCTATTTAAAAATTCCTTCTAAACAAATCACTTCAGGTAGAATAGATGCTTGCGATAAGGTACTCCAACATATGAATGAGAGGTGGACAGGCAATTTCATGAATCACAGCCCAGGTAGAAGATGTGTATTCTATACAGTGTATGATGCAGGTAGCAAACAGGGTATCCATAGTAGTTCAAAACAAAATGCCCAAATGATGCAATGCGTGACGAGACTTGAAGCTCATGGTGATAAAAAGCTGAGGCGGTAGCAGGCTAACGTTTTGCGTGATCATCTTCAGCCTTGCGCTTCCTATTTAGGCTATCGTCGGCTTCGAAAAGCTTGGATTCCGAATCCAAGATTGGCTGCACTCCATGGTCCTCCTGCTCGTCTTCTGCCTCGACCTTCTCCCAGTCTTCATCGTCGTCTTCATTGACTGACTTGTGCTTCAAAGTGGAAGATGGTAGACTGTTCTGAACCTGGCTTTCCACATGCACGTGCTTGTCATCGTTCCACTGCAGGATGAGTTTGACGATCCTGGCCCCAGAAGGTTTCAGGCGGCGGTAGTAATTTTCAACCACGCCGTCCTCTAATTGGAAGCCACGCGCAAGGTACCATTTCAGACCGTCTTCATTGGCTTCGTGCACGTGTGCCGTGACAGTGCGAATGTTGTAATGTTTCACCAGGTCGGAGACTTGAGGTGGAGCCTTTAGACTCGAAGACGCAGAGGGAAGCGAGGAAGCATAAAGTAGCGAGTTCAGAAGTGAGGCTGCGACTCCACAGCCTCGATACGGAGAAAGAAGGTGAAGAGTCTGGATGTAGAGGTTGGTCGGTTCTTGCTGCTGGGAGTGGTGACATGCCTGCAGGGTTTCCGCGGCAGCGGAAGGCAGTCGCTCCAGCCGACAGCGTATCCCCCCGATGACTTTGTCAGTGCCGGTTGTCGGTGCCTTAAGATTGGTGGATGAAGAAGGTGCGGTGGATGCGGGCGCTGCGGCCACCGGGTGATCATGGTAAATGGCCACGCGGGACAGCGACGCGATCACGGGGTCAGTGATCGTGGCTGTGTAGAATGAGTTCGGGTAGCGGATGGGCAGCAGCAACCCCGTGATCCGAGTCAGAGAGGGTATGTGAGCCGTACTCACGACTTCGACCGTAACGTGTGGGTGCGGAGTGGGGTGGCCGGATGCTATGCGATGGGGATACGCGGTCGGCTCGAAGGGCGTCTCCTTGGAAGAAGGGGGCTGCACTCGGGTGGGCAAGTTGAGTGAGAATGGCTTCGATGATGAGGAAGATGGCAGACGAGGCGCTGGGGATACCGGTGGTTGATATTGCGCGGGTTTGGAGGAAGAAAATGTCGACACTGAAGCCTGAGGGGCAGACAAAGGTGGAGAGGTAGGCGCTTTAGATTGATGCGCCTTTGCGAAGAATTGGTATGCCATGACTGGCAGAAAATGAGACGCTACAAGCAGTGCAAAGTAGAGATTAAGACTCAACAGCTGTTTATAGCAGTATGGGGATATATCCCCAATTTAAGAAAAGACGAGAGAATGAGCAGAGAACGAAGGAGGGGAAAGACGCCTGAAGAGGGGAAACGCGCGATTCAAAGCGGTGGACGAGGAAAACGCGGAGATGCGATAAGATAAGATCGGGCGGTCGGACCGGGCTTGATGAGGCAAAGGCCAGCGCCGAAAGAGCCTCTCTCTCCACGGCCCCCCCTCAAATCCAGGATTGCCCCTGGTGTTGCGCCTGTCGCTTGCTCTTTGGTCTCTTCTTTGGCCTGCTCTCCCCATCGACTAGCTTCTCTGCTATATATATGATTGTATTTCCAGGTATCCAAGTGAGTGGACACTCCATGTTGGGATGACGGGCGTAGCGCGCAGTCCGCTGATTCTCCCTGCCATACGCAGGCAGTTCGTTTCCCGCCTCCAGTTAATAAACGCCCGTCACCACTGAAACCCAAATGGACAATACCTATCCTCGTTTTCGCGTGTTATTCTTTTGAATCGGCTGGTATCTCTATAGACCTACCCTCCTTTACAGCTTTGTCAGATCCGACCAACACACACTCGACTGTCTATTACGACATCATCCCAATCGATCCGCATCCGTCGGCGACCAAAGAATTCCGGATCAAAACTCGCTCGAACAGTACATACAACCTGCATGAAGCTATAGCATCAAAGCTCTTGGGGCTTTGTTTTGCACGAAGACGGACTTTGCCATACTGGTCGACCTTTTGGGAGAGCCAAGCACACAAATTGGAGTAGGATACGTTGGTATCAAGGTACGTTCGGACTGTGGCTATGACAGTCACTCTTGACAGAGCGTTATGGGAACGTTCTTATTTTACCAAGCAATCTTCTTGTGCGAGACGGTAGTACCGACCGGCGCACTTTTGACGGTTGCCGCTGCTATTGTTTTGGTGTTTTTCTCTCGTGTAGCTCATGCTTTCAAGCTATGCAATGTCTAATGATCGGCACTTCAGAACACACAAATTACAACGATGGGCGAGTCAAAAGGGGCTGAGGAACGTGGATCCTCTTTCCCTCCAGGGACGATAGCGAAACTAGTAAGCACCTCGAGCATCATGACTCACGTTTTATTTGCGCAGATCTATTGTCTACTAGTTGCGCTCCATTCTACAAAGTGCTAATACAGTGTAGACCTGTGAAATCCTCAATGACACATTCTACAACATCATCCATGACATAGTCGCCAAAGTACATCGCGATGAGAAGGTTTCCCGCATGCGTTCCGCGGTCGTTGCTGCCCGACAGAAGGCAGATGAGGAGGCGACCAGGCGTCGCGAAGAAAGCGGGAAACCGGCCAGCGCGTTCAAGCCAGGCGATCTCGATTTCGAGGAACTCAAGGACATTCGTGTGGAAACCGACGGGGCCATTTTCGACGAGGGCAAGGTCTACTTGAAGGGCAACCCTCTACAAACCACCAAGGATATCATTTGTCCTGATTGCCGGCTGCCGCGCCTCTTGTACCCTGTGACAGGCGTCGGGGCTCGTGCCCCTCCCGACCCGTACCGCGAGTACTGCCAGAAGCAGCCGACGATCAGCAAACCTGGCCACGACGTCAACGGGAACCCATTCGTGACGGACAAGGTAAAACCTCAGAAGAAGAAGCAAGTCACCACCTCGAATACCCCCGGGTCGAGCCCACCCACGACCCCCGACGGCTCCTTCAAGCAGGCTGCGCCGGAAAGGATATCGTTCCCAACGGTGAAGTGTCCGAACTGCCCAAGATACTTTGTCGTGACCCGCGTGGCGCAGCATCTGGACCGCTGCTTGGGCATCTCCGGCCGACCACTGGGTGGCCGCAACAAGACCCCCTTGGAGAACACCAACACCGGCAACAGCACGCCCACCTCCGCTCCGCCCAAACGGCCCCTGATCGACGACGATGGCCCGCCGACCATGAACAAGAAGAAGAAACTCGGTCCTCCGAAGAAGCTGGCGGGGAAGAAGCCCACCCCTCCGAGCAGCAAGCTCAAGAACGGATTAACACCGGACATGGCCGCTGCAGATGATGCATTCGGTGAGCCCGATATCAAAAGCGAAGCCAACGGGGACAATTCTTGACAGGGACGCGGGGGTTCACCTTTCTTTTGTTCTCTGTTCTATAATCCCGATCTCTGTTGTTCATTTGACCCCCCTTCCCCACCACTTTCACCTCAAATACCTCCTTTCTACCTTTTACTTTTGCCCCCAAACCCCCTTCATCCTTGGCAAGACTCCTTCCTTTCTGCATCGCGAAAAGAAAACCCGAGACAATTGGACATAACAGTCTCCATTTGCCATAACGAAAACCAACTCACCATTTTTTGACGTAAATACCCGGCATTGTGAAAGGCGTCAATAGGCGGGAAAGAACCCACTACTTCAGGACCATCGAGTTCTTTCGCACAAGAAGCAAAGACAAAAGTCTCTGGGACATCATCGGCGCTGTGCCTTCCTCTTCATACTTTTCTTTTCTTATTTGATTCTCTCTCTTTGTTGATTTTTTTTGTCATGTTTTGCTCCGTTCGGGTGAACTTCTGAAATGTTATTGGGTGTTTGATTTTCCCTCTTTTCTCGTCGGAATTTGTTTTAGGGATAGATGATATCTTGCTCATTGCAAACAACTTTGTATGTATGTATGATAAATGGGGTCTGGTTCTTGGTGGGCCAGATTTTGGGGAAATTCATGCTCCCGCGTTTGGGGATTGGGATATAAATCTTCGTCCTCGTCTGGGTTCTCTCTTTCTCCGGCAATGGTATGTTATATATGTAGGGTTGATTTGTAGTTATGTACAGGGTTGAACCAATCTCAAAACAAAACCAGTAACGACCGCCGAAAAACATCATGTGGCAATGTATCATTATCATGGGGCGGTATGTACCTTGGCCATGCGCATTTCTTCCCCTGTAGATGTCCCATCATTGCGTATCAATGCATCACCACCGCCACATGATCGTTCATATACCGCCGCACATCGCCCAGGAAGCACGCCGCCAGGATCGCCACCCCGCCGAACCCGATGCTGGCATAGTACACCCACTTGTAGCTCTCTGCGAACGCTATCTGACCCGCCGTCACGACCGCCTCGTACGCCGCGGGGTTGCCGGCGATTCCGGGAATCGTGTTGAGCTCCTCGAGGAGCGACGCGCCCGTCAGTTGGATCGCTTCGGCGATGTATTGTGGGTTGGTGATGTTGAGCTGTGTCATCATGACGCCGCCGATGTAGTGCTCCGCGTTGGGCACGAACTTGGAGATGAAGATGTTGTAGTAGATTGTGTAGCCGATGCCGCCGCCGACCACGCGGATCGAGAGGGTTAGGGCGGAGATGGTGGCGATTAGGTCCTATGAAGGGAGGAGTGAGGTGTTAGTTGGGTTTGGTCTGAGTCACTGGAGGGGATTGTAACATGATTTGAAAGCGAGACTCTTGACAGGGCCGGCTGCACGGTGGCATGATGATGGGGTGGAGGAAGGGAGGATTGTGGTAGGGGGAAGGGTGAGCAGAACGAGGGTCACCTATGGCGGTCTTACATCTGGACAAATGATGGTTGTCATGATGGATGCTGGAACGACGATGCCGCCGATTCCTAGGCCTGCAAGGACAAGAATACCCCATAGTTGGTAGAGATTGTCGAGTCGGCCAATGGAGAGGGCGCCGCAGCCTGGTGGAGATCAGCATCTATACAGGGTTGCATTCTGGTTGTGGAGGACTGACCTGCTGTCATGAGCACGCTGCTCAAGATCAAAAGCTCCTTGTTGTGGCCACGAAGCACACTCAGCAGCCATAACACAATGCATGCACCGATCAGGATGGAGAAGCCGATGGGGATACTGCGAACACCCACGTCAACAGGGTCGTGGCCGTAGACGTTGAACGACTGCGTAGGCCAGAACATGAGGACGGAGAAAAAGTTCGCTCCGGAAATGAAGGTGATGACTAGCGTCAAGCCCAGGGTCCAGGGTTCCTGCTTCAAGCGACTTGGGAAGATGGGATACTTTGCGCCGTAGACTTCCCAGACAGCGAAGAGGACGAGGAGTATGAAACCGAGGATAAGCGGAACGAGGACATGAGCGGTTTTCCAGCTATACTGTAAACGTAGAGACGATGGTTAGAAAAACAGTGCGAAGAAATATCTCATGCAGCGCTTACCATGTAACCACCCCATTGTAAGCCAGCCAAGAACACGATGAGACCGGAAATGCTGAGAAATCCGCCGACAAAGTCAATACGACGGATGACTTCTGCTTTGCGTAATCCCTCGGAGTTTACTCGAGGTGGTGGGAAGTAAAAGAGAGCTGTGGCCAACAATCCAGATCCATTCCATGCTCCACAGAATGCGCCAACGTATCTCCAGCTGCTGTGTGCTGCAATGAGCTGGGCCCAGAGCACCGAAGGACAGAACGGTAAGATAGAGAAGATCAATACCGCCACATATTTGCCCCTCTGTCGCGTTGGTGCCATTTCAGAGGTCGCAGCTAGCGCAGTCAGTTCGTTGACGCCTGCTCCTGCTCCTGCAACTGTCATCCCGGCTTCAAATTGTTAGATATATTTCGCAGTGTGAAGAGTGACATCTCTCTTGTGAACATACCGATAAATGTATTCATCGTGTTGGCTGTACTACTCACGATCATACCAATGCAGATGAGTGAGGCTCCGATGATGGCAACATATCGACGACCGATCAAATCCGACAACGATCCGACGAAAGGACAGACGCCAGCGAGAGCAAGAAGATTTGCCAGAACCTGTGTGACATTAGTCAGTGATGAACAATGCCTCAAAAGATCGTGGTGTAGTCTTACAAACCAAACCCATCTATCTGCCCCACCAATTTCTCTATAGATATAAGGTGGGATACCTCCTAGCGAGATGTTAAACCACCGACTTAGCGTAGGATAGACATTAGCATAGCCGTACCGAATAAGTAGACTGGAATCTGACTTCCAGTCCACAAGAACGCCATTGCAGTGAAACCCATGAACCGACGAAAGGTCATCTAAAAGTCGTACAAGATCAGCAAGTTCCCTATCCAGCCAGTCTTTGCTTCCTTAAGTTGAGTATTTACGCACTGGCACCTTCACTTCGCCTTCAACGTCCGCCTCATTGGAATCCCGTCCAGCCACCTCCCGGTGGCTAAAATCACTCGCGACATTTTCATCGAAAGATGAATGTGCTGCTGTCTTTTCGTCGACGCCAGCTTGGCTGCGCTGGACAGCGATGTCCATGGCGCTTAATGTAGATGGAAAGAGACTGGGGAGAAGGTTGACAATGATTAGGTCGAAAACCGCGCAGCCAGTGGCGGAAATGCGAATCCGAGGAGATTCTAGTCAGAAAAAGCAAGGTGATGTCAATTTATATAGGTTATGGCCGCCCACAGTGATCAACAGAGAGCACCGGGCCTCGACCCTTCAGATACCCGGTGGGTGTAGATAGCGGAAGTGGCAGCCGTCATGACTCCCTCGCGCCTCCTTTGGGGAGATGGACAAGCGGAGATGCTACCTCTTTGGGTGACAACCGAGGAAGTTGGCCAGTTTTGCCATAAGGGTGGTGGAGTTACACGGCCTGTACCAGACCGGAGTGACCGCTTGGTTCCAATGAAAATGCTAGTGTCCTTCCTCCTCCAGAAAAAATGCGGGGGGCGAAATCGCGGGGAACGGGCCCTGCGGAGAAATCGATGCCACTTCAAAGAAAGCTTGAAAGGCCCACATGGTACAAGCTTCATTGGCAGTGCTACGCTACAGATACTGCGATAAATGCGTAGACAAGCATGGTACTGTACGACATGGAACACTCCAATGGCTCCCTAGACCAGATTTGTCTGTCTGTCTGTCTGTCCGTCGCGTATACAGCCCCGAAATGGATATTAAGCCGAGACACAGTCAGTTGAAATAATTATGGACAAGAAGCGAACCAGACGAAACTCTAATTCTACCCGGTATGGACGAATCCCGTGACACACTCACTCGCGTCGTCCCGTCAAGCGAGGCTCATGCCACTGTGCCGTGCTAGAAGCGCTCCCCATCTTCACGGAGCTTGTAGTTCTTGGGGACGACGAACAATGCGCTGGCCTCGACGCACAATTTCCCAACCATATCACGAACTTCGCCTCGGACAAAGGCTTTGCGCTCCGTACTTCGCTCCTGATCCAGAGTGGCATGGAATGTGTAGAAGTTGTTCGAAAAGACCGGTGCCCGGTATTGGAGCTCGAGATTGGCAGTGACTCCGGTGCGTTGGGGGAGATTCCGGATTGCGACACGGCCTAGATGCTCGTCAATGATCGTACCGAGCGCTCCTCCGTGGACCATGGTCGGCCACCCTTCCAGACCCGGCCCAAGGTATGCGACATTGACGGCCGTTTTTTCCTTGTCATTGTAAAAGACCCTCTGTACTCAGCCGTCAGTAAAGAACCACGGTCCAACCAGGCCAAACACCAAGCCGGGGAAACGCATTGAGGTTTCACTGCGCTCCTAGCTCCGTTTTGGATCGTTGCATCATCTCAGGCGGAGTCAGACAAGCAACGTACCTGAAGTCCTATTCCTCTACTCCCTCGCAGCGGGCCGGATGTGAGCCTTTGCGTCTTCTCGTCCTCGGAGAAATTGCCGTAGACATCGGCCTCCACGTAGTCGGGGTTCGCTCGCAACCTCTGCACGATCGGCAGCCAGTGTTCGAATTTCGAATTGATCCCCTCGAGTCGTCCCTGATCCTCGAGCGTACCTGGCAGGGCGGGCGCAGAGACATTCTCATCCATCCAGCTGCCTATGAAGGCCGCGCCACAGGTGCCGAAGATCGCCATGTAAAGCAATCGTCGCGGCCATGGCGACGATCGGAGAAACGACGGCTGGGCGGCGGTATTCAGAGCCCTTGTGTTCGCACGCGCATAGCGTGCGATTGATTGTGATCCAGTAGTAAGGTGAGGCGCCTGCGATAGGCAGACTCTATGTAGACGGAACATACTGCTCAGCATTAGAGTTGCAACGAGTGCATTGCTGGGAAGCTCGTCTCCAATGCGGAGGATCGGTGATTAGATAAGAGGAGCGCCGGTATCGGTCACGTGATGCAATTACAACTACATGAACCTATAGGAATACAGCACATGGTTTGGTGTACGCTCTACTTAGTTACAAATTAGAATGACTTAACAAGGGTCCAAGAAGACGAGGAATCTTTAGCAATATTGTGGTCGGTGGCAGTATCAAAACCTGGATAAGGATAATTATTGAGAAGTAATGTATTCTGCTCTGGTGAGCAGCCAAGCTAAGTATCAATTCAGTTCGTCATCTATGGAAGTGTAGTTGTCGCATCAATCATTATGTCCTGCTGCGGGGATGCTGCTCAATCCTCACGAGGCATTTCCACTGCACGATACAGGAGGATCAAGGCAGAGTGAGATTCACCTGGTGGGCCATGTTAGAGACTAATGTGAGACAGTTTGAATAAAAGTACTTACCACCACCAGCGAGAGTCTCGATCTTCTCTCCGTCCACTTCGGTCACCTTCTCGTCATTGAACCACCACCACTTGCCTTCAGCGCTGCCAGAGTTGTCCTTGTCCTGCTTCTTCACATAGGCTGTATAATGGCCGCTATCAGCGCTGGCACCCTGGTGGGTGATCACACCACGAAGCTCGTAAAGACCAGTTGTGTTGGCTCCGGCATCAGCTGCAAGCTTCTGATCGATCAATGCGGACAATTCCTTCTTGGCAGCAAGGATCGATGCGGTTTTCTCGGCCTCGTATTCGGCGTCGGTCTTGAATACGTCGGTCATGGCTTCGTCCTTATCATCCTTGCGCTCTTCGGCTGCTTTCTTCTTCTGCATGGGCTCCATGCTCGAGGATTCGCCTTCTTCGTTCTTCTCCTCTCCTTGGCGATGAGCGAGCTTCTGGCGCTTGCGAGCCCGTTCAACATCCACTTCCTCCTTTCGGATCTCTCGAACCTTGTCCCTGACAGGAATAAGCTGCTTCTTCAGCTCCTCCGTACAGAAGTCGACCACGTCAAGCTCGTGAGGGAATGTAACTTTCCGCATGATCTTAGCCTTCTTCTGCGTTTCACGCTTCCAGAAGAATCGAACAAAATGCACCGTGAGATACTTGGGCAAGCGCGCAATGCGAGAGCGCTTTGTGTAAACGGCATCGCGGTCCAGAGTTGGGGAGTGCTTCTCGATCTTTTCCTCGAGACCGGCCATGATACCGTCGCTCAGGTGATTTGTTTCCTTGCCAATATGGCAGTCGAGCTTGTAAAACACATCCGTGCTCTCGGTAGGCTTCTCACCAACCTCCTTGGCTGCGGAGTCGTCGCATTCCGTCACTGACTCAAACCGTCCAGCAAGATACTTATCCACAAACGACACCTCCGTCGCAGACTCCCCTTCGCCTTCTTTGATAACCAGCTTGTTCCTGAGCTGTGTCACAATCTGTGACCAAGCCTCTTCAGCATCTTGTTGGGCATACCCATGCCCATTCCGGTCTCTTTGAGCAAACTGGGGGTAGGCATTTCTCAGTGCATTGAGGAACATGAGTGGCGGGAAGCCTTCCTGCGTCTCAGACATCTGCTTGAACAAATCCCGAAGAGAAGCAGTAAGATCTGTCGAAGCACCAAGACCTCCTAGACCGAGGCTACTAAGACCTGCAAGGCTGGAGCCCCCGCTAGAGCCCGCAGTGGGTCGATACCTGAGCAATTCCTCCTGAAGTTCGGGAACGCCCCTCAGAGCTTGAAGGGTAGAGTTGAGGTAGCAAGTATTGCCAAGGTTCTGTAGACCAGCAGGAGTTGCACCCTCGGCCTTGGCAGCCTCTGCTTCCGTCATGTCTTCCAAGAACTTCATCACTTCTTTTGGTCGGCCCAAGTCAGCAGAGCCCTGGTTACCAGATGGTGTGCCCATCATCATGAACGTCTGCCCTGGTTTGGCGTTGAGAGAAGACAATGGAGTCTCATCCTTCAATTGACCACCCTTAACCAAGATCTTCTGTCGCTCGGGTTCGACGCCGGTAAGGGAGAAGAGCTGGTACTTCAGCGTTTCACCGTTCAGGGAAGGATCAAGCTCGACCTCGTGGCGTTTGCCCTGGTGTTTGATAATCACTATCATGGCGTCAGCAGCTGGACGAGGAACTCAAAGCTCGAATGTAATCTCTCAAGATTCATCACGCACCTGGTATGGAAGCCATCTTAGCTTGCTTCACTGTAATTTGAGATGCAACAATTGATGAGTTCTAAGCTCTGGCGGCAATGATGAGGCAATGGGTGATGACTGCGTCAGTTAACTCCGCGGCGGCGGTGGGGCAGGCGGTGAGGCAATGGACAACAGGCTGCATCACCGCCCTGCGGGGACCGCCCCTCCTGAGTGCTGAGTAGGTAGCATCATCACCTGCCTCCTTTAGTGAAGCGACAACAACAACGGGCGGAATCATTCTCCTGCGAAGCATCAAGCTCCCTATTTCCCAGCATATAAATGCTCACAATCCGTGAGGCCATTTCATTCTGATTCATTTACCAGAGATCTAGCATTGGAACTACGTCACAATGGTGAGCGCTACATCCCGAGCACTACAATTAGAGTAGTGGGCTGTGTCTACGATAGGATGCTCATACACGCTACAATAGAGCACGAGTCTCCGGCCGTATCTTCAATGTGTTCGTTCGTCACTTTCGGCGGCGCTCGCTATTTCCAATTTCGCCAGCCAGACCTCGGAGAGGCACAATGTGCCAGAGATCGAAGCAGCAAGCTCTCCTGAGCTCTTGCTCAACCCATTGGTCATTTCTCGGAATTCTGTACGTGCTCTCGGTCCAAATTAGTGTCGATACTGTACTTGTCTAATGCGATTCTCGTTGTTGAATAGGACGAACGCACCTTCATTGAACCCTCGGTCAACTCCGTCCGCGTGTCCCTCAAGGTCAAACAAGCCGATGAAATTGAACATATCTTAGTGCATAAATTCGCGAGATTCTTAACGCAGCGCGCGGATGCGTTCCTGATTCTCCGGAGGAAGCCGGTGGAAGGCTATGATATCTCGTTCCTTATCACGAACTTCCATACCGAGGCTATGCTCAAACACAAGATTGTGGATTTCGTGATTGAGTTTATGGAGGAAGTGGACAAGGAAATTTCGGAGATGAAGCTTTTCGTAAGTTTCAAGCTCCTTATCAAGAGACAATCTCATGCTAATGGTCTGCAGCTGAACGCCCGTGCCCGTTTTGTGGCTGAGTCGTTCTTGACACCGGTAAGCATCCAGGCTAAGCACTACGATGGAAGACCGCTAACATGCCATCACAGTTCGACTGAATGTATGCTTTGATGCCACTCTTCTTATTCTAAATGAATCAGGTTTCCTTTCCCAGGAGCAATCATTGTACAGGCGATCTGGGCTGGTGCTGGGAAATCGCTGTGTTTCTTCTATGCTTGTTCCTTTTACAAATTTCCAGTTGTCATTCCATCCCTAAAATTGTGCCCATGTTGCGCATAGACATCTCTTTCCAGAATCATCCAGTATAGTTCTACTGACAAGTGTAGATATGGAAAACCAGAAACGCGCCGCACGGGCATATATGTCTCTGACGTGTTAGAAGTCTCTGGGGCGCATCTATCGGGTGCTTGCTAACTTGGCTCGAGCGCTATGGGGCTTTTTTGCTGCTTCCATGACTGACCGATGCCTGTTTAGCCGGTAGCTCAAGTGAATACCTCCAAGCACGACCAGACAATCTGGCGATGCTACCTCATTCCAGGCTCACTCTGGCGTACTAGTGAATGATCCTGCTGCTGTGACTGGCGTTGAATAGCTTAAAGCCCTTATGGTGTTTGCGATTGAGGACATTTCATTTGTATGTCTTACTTCAAATGAAACCTTATCGAGCCGTTACTCTATGTTCCTGTTCACATGGTCCTCTGAATAGCCTCATTATCTGACCGTTTGCCTCACTCACCGTCCTGCCTTCGATTATTAACATACAACTCAGATCTGCCACAACAAGATAAGCAGTACCCTTGATTCTTGGTGTATCTCAGTAGAGCCTTGCTTGCAGTCCGGTAACACACTGTGGTCATTGCTGCGCTTCAGCACCTGATGTGAATAGATGAAACGCGGCTGCGCAACTTGTATATGGTTGCTCTCCAAGCGACTCAACCGGGATCCTGGCTGAATTCATTTCTTCACATCTCATCATATCTTGTCTTCTTCTTTATCTCTACACATTCCTCTTTCGACTACATATCAAGATGGCAAAGTCTGGTCATATCAACCCCCCTGCTACTCCAAAACATCACTACAATGACCATATGGCTTCACCCAGCGAGCTCTTCTCCCCTGCTGCAAGTCACCGGCGACTTTCGAGCGGCCTCACTGGGGAATCGGCGCTCGACTCCCGGGCTGCCTGTGGAGATTTGCTGAGTGCGAAGTTGGGGAGTTTGTCTCTCACACCATACTCTTCTAACTCTCCCACCCCAGTTCCACTGGGTCACTCACGTTTCCAATATGGAGTGGCTGGTTCACCTCTAGCCCATCGTCGGAACTCCTCTGTGGTCGACGGGAACCATTTACACGAAGCTCAGAATATTCTCAAGGCCGTTGCGAAGGGTGGTCTGCCTGATGAGATGCCGATTGGCAGTCTTACTCTCCTGCAACAGCCACCAGCCGCAGGCGTTATGAAGATATCCAATGTAAGCGACCATTCATGCCTTTAGAATCACAAATCTAAACCTGGAACAGATTCCCTATTCTATCACCAAGCAGGAGATACTACAATTCGTAGGACGCCAGTCTCGCCTGAGCTCGGGTCAAGCCGTCCACATTATAATGGAGCGCTCAACTGCGAAGACAATGGATTGTTATGTGGAATTTGCGACACCAGGAGATGCTAAAGAGACCGTCAAGAGAATCGATCGTATCCAGGAAACTGGCCGTCCGCCTCGCTTGGGGAACAGACACGTTGATGTCGAACTTAGTTCTCAGGATGCCCTGCTGCGCGATCTCTTCCCTCGTGCAAAGTGTGTCCACTGGCAGGCAGGTATGCCCACTGTTCTCCGCAACAATGATCCCTATTCGACGGGCTTTGCTGGCTTCTTCACCAGCGAGGAGATTATCGGTGCTATTCGCCATGCAGAGATGCCTCACAGAGTAAGCAACCCCGAGATCGTCTTCATTGATTGCAAAGCCTGACCATCGCTAGTCTCCTTTCAGTACCAAATGTCCTCAGCGTACATATGAGTCCACTATCAGTACCCTCTACAAGGTAAGTGAGGTTGGGCAGAATCATGCAAAGTAGATTTGCTTACACAGAAATTCAGTTCCCCTGGTATGCCGTTGATCTTTACACGGTCCATGATCGTAACTTGCTCTTTGACTTGGTCAATCGCCAGGTTTTGGCTCTTCTTACTCGTATGAGCAGATCGAATACAGTGGGTCTGGATCAGCGCCTCTTGAATGACCTTCTTCGTGCAGGACTCGAATGTCCAGGCTTCAACGAACGCCAGAGATATACCTTGTGTGTCAACGCAGAAAACTTCGCTGAGTTGAATAAGCTATCTGACATCAGTCAATGGTTTCCCTTTGACACCTTGGCTAATATGCCTAACCTCGATGAGCACACTTACAGTGTATGTGTTGTGGAAGCCTACTCTAAATCTCATATTCCCCTCACTTTCAGCACTCCCAACGTGGCAGCCTATGTTCTGACTCTAGATCTAGTTTCTTGTCGACTTGATTTCCAAGGGCTCGATCCACGCCATGTCTCACCCAGAACTCCCCAACAACTTCCCCTCGGATAATGTCAACCTCATCTCGCCGTTTGGTCCGATCTGGTTTGAATGGCCCGAGGAAGTCGCTAAGCGCACGCTCTGGCAGGACGCGGTCAGTCAGGAGACCAACATCTTGTTCGATCTTCTATCTAGCGGATCTAGAAACCCCCATGGAAGAAAGCTGTCTTCTGGAAGTCACAGCACTCTGAGCAGCGGCATGTCACCAGACACAGACAGTCTGTCCCAGTACGATGTGTTTTCGCCTCCTCTACGCCGAGCAAGTGACTCATGGCACATGCGCGCTTACTCTTACAGCGGCATTGAGGACAACCCTTGGAATTCCAGGCTGCTTCTTCATTCGGATGGTAGAGGCCGTGGTGGCTTCCCCGGACATCGCTTCACCAGATCTTCTCCAGTCAATGTCCCGGTCTTCGATGATTGATGTCACTGGAGTTCAAGAAGTACAGTGCTCAGAACTCATCAACTGCAATGCTTTTGACTTTGCTCTACTGCACTGGTTGGATCTGGATTTGCGTATCGTGCATAGTGCATATTGGCCTATCCATAATCTAGGTCGACATATTTGTCTTTTCATTTACGAGATTCCCCTTATTTCCCTTGGTTTTTCTAGCGTCTCTCTGCTCAGCTTGTATTTGCGGACTTGATTACTGGTTGATTTTGCCCTGCACGAATTTCAGAACATCATTTCATGAAGTGCTATCAGTTCAAGAGCGCATGCTACACGGGTACACTGCCTTTAAGCTATGAATGTATCGTTCTCTTTGTTTTTGTTTTCTTTTTCTATTTTCTTGATTCTGCCAAAGCCTTAATATCTGATGATTTTTCCACATGTTTTTTGCTTCTTAAATGCCGTTAATCTCGAATATCGCCGAAGTTAGCTTCCAATGAATAATCGAAGTTGCCAATCGCACCGCCGTCTCCTTCCTCTTTTCGGTTCTTCTGTTCGAGTTGCTGCTGCTGCTGCTGCTGCTGCTTCTTCCTTAGTCCTTCTGCCCTCATCCTTTCCCTGCGCGCAGCAGGATCCTCCCAGCCCACCGGTTTCGCTTTCCCCTTCGCCTTCGCGCCTAGAGCATGATCCGCGGAACACATCTCCAGCAGACTTGACTGGAAGCGTTCCTTGCGTTCCGAATTGATGACGAACCGTTCGTTCGAGATGGCGATCAACATCTCCAGGTATTGCTCCGTGACCAAACTGCGAATGATGGGCTCGGACTCGCCGCCGTCATCATCGTTCTCCTTCTCTTCGCAGTATCCGATGACTGACTCCAGAGCCATGCCGGCGGAGCGAACAGCAACGATGGGGCTGGGGCCGTCCGCGTCGTCCGCATCTATACAGCGAAGGCTCTGGAGTCCGCTTTCGCGAAACCCGGAGCTGGAGGCGGCGGAAAGGACGGGGTTGGCGTGGTGGAGGGTCGCTGCCATTATATGGAGAATCTAGGTAACTTGGTTAGAGAGTTCGTCTGTGATGATCGACCGCATGCCGTAGGGGATTGAGGAGGAAGTAATTCGAATGAATGATGTATTCCGAGTCGCCAGGGAGGGGGTAAATGAATAGCAACGCAAAAAGAAGGAACGAAATAGCAGGGCACAAGGGCATTTACCATCGGCTCATAGGAGAAGCGCACGAGACGCGGGGCTTGACCGGATTCGTCCAGCTTTGGCGGTTTCCCGTCTCCAGGAATCATCCCGAATAAGCGGTGCAGCGGTCTCTTGTTGTTCCCCTCGTCCTCACCATCTTCTGCTTCACCTTGCTTTCCTCCATACTCCTTCAACGCATCATGCGAGACATACAGCCATTTCCCGGCTCCTTTGCCCCCTGAAGGTACGAATTGTCTCTGTTGCACTTCTGACGACTGCTGCTGCTGCTGCTGCTGCTGCTGTTGCTGTTGCTGTTGCTGTGGCTGTGGCTGATGCTGCTTCTTTCTCCCTTCTAGGAAGACACTGATCCGCCCTGCACAACTGCTAGTGGTTACTAGTCCGGGCAAGGTATTAATATCATCGATCAGCTCACGGATGCCTTCATCCACCGACCCCTTGGGTGAGAGATCAGTATACTCTGCGTCAGGAATGGATAGTTCGGTAAGGATCTTGCGCTTTCGAAGCTCAAAAGCCTCGGGGATTGGGTGGGATTCGGGACCACTCATGATGAGCCTTTGTCTGCGCTTGTTTTCCTCGCTTGTTCACTATGATATTGGACCCGGTAATTCTTCTGGATTACCCCAGAACAGTCAGAAACCGGCTATCTAAGGCGGGGCAGCTCTGGTGATCCCTGTTTTCCCTCCTAGTGATCCGACTCCAACCAAGAGGTATCCGCTGTCCGCTGACAAGAAACGAATAATAGATTATCTAGCTACTGCGAACCCCACGGCCGAAAACTGGTGACAAATAACTGTGTGATTGTGAGATAATTCTGAATGCCACCCTAAGTTGCGCCTGCCAATGCTTCTCGAACGAGGGAAAGAAAAAAAAAAAAAAAAGACGGACTGACGTCGACTTGCCGAGCGGCGGCGGCGACGCTAAGGATAGTTTAGCGGAGCGGGAAGC